TAGGATTCTATTTCATGAAATGCTTATTGTTGAAAATTTTCATGTTTGCTTATTGCACGGGTTTTCGATTCACGTTGGACACAAAATAGCTTGCAAGGTACTCCTTGTACAACAAAGCGATGCCAAATGAACGATTAGAATCAATAATAGTATTCGCACGTGTTCAGTGAATATCGCAGGTGTTCGCTAATGGGACATTTTAAATATCCACTCACATGTGAATCTTGCAGTTCTGCGTTTGTACAGGCGGCAAAGCGCACCCAATAAAAGTATGCCTATGCAATTTACGGTGAAAGGGCATAAACCAGTCGTGGAATGTATAGCAATTTGTCGGGCAATTATATAATTCCATTAATTCATGGCCATTGCATCATATTTAATGATTGATTGTGGTGAATGGCGACATTTTTGGCAAATTATCACAGACTTAAGTAGATATTACGGAAGAGTAAAAGTGTGTACCACAGGGCGTGTGCAGCGAGTCGCGAGCGTCCGTGGCGGCCGGACGCCTCCGCATTCCAGTCCAGCTTCCCCTCGCGGTTAACTGCTCACTTCCCAGCATGTGCGTCCTAACTGCAGCTAACGCTCATGGGATGTGAAAACAATTGGACTACAATTTCAGGCTGCGACCAGTCGGATACGAAGCAACAGGACGATTTACGGCTGGAATTCCATGGGGATATCCACCAGCAAAGGACTAACGCGTCGGCACTTATTGGCCGCCATGCACTTAGGGTCTACCTAGACCTCTCCAGTAGACCGTAAGACTCTGCAGTTTAGTGTACCTGCACGAGCAGGCAATATATATACATATACATATAGTATATATTTAATCAAGCGACGACAACTTTTAAAAATTGTGACAGTTACGTAGTAAAATAAGTATTGTATAAGTGGTTTCATTCAATGGTAAACTAAACTGTGTGATTCTTGCTAGTCGCACAATGCGTATTCTTTCCTTGGGAATATTTGCGTTTGCTTGTGCACTTTGGGAACATTTTCCGTTTATTTCATCGCACAGCTATGACATAACGTGTGCAATGTGGTAACTGATGAGCTATCTATTTACAAAACAATGATTCACAACTGACAGTTAATTTAAATATAAATAAAAATTTAATTCAATCAGCTCATCATCAGTGGAGACCCGTACCAGGTGGGCCGTGTGAACGTGTTGATGGTGATGAAGGACACGCTACTTGCAGTTTGAAACGAAACATATGCAGAGAAAGAGATAATTATTCATCGGTAAATTATGTCTCTTTTAAGCTGAGTTATGTATATTGGATAAGTGTAGTCGGAACTGCTCGGTCGTTAGCATTTCCCAGCGCGCTTCCGCCGCCGCCGCCTCGCAACCGTAGCGCCTGCGTCGCGGCACGTGCGACATTTCGATGATCAGCAGAGCGCTGCCGCAATTGTGACGACTTGGTAATAAGGACAAAAATTTGCGCTCAGGGTAAACATCGCCGGCAGACACGTTCTCGAATCAAGTTTTAGGAAGATTTCAAATGCAAATTTAATTTTTCCATCAATTTCCAACTTGAAATTGACGAAAAAAGGCACAACATTGTGAAATTTATAATTGTATGTAATTTTTCAATAACCAAAATGTTTACGTTTTAGTGGTGTTTCGTCAACTTACGATTTATTATATTAAATAAAAGTCTCGAACGTTTTTTTAATATTCACGACTTACGATTTCGAACAAAAGGCAATTGTTTTAATACAATCGATTAAAATTTAATAATTACCAATTATTTATTAGACCTCGCGATGACTACAACTGAATCGCATTTCAACGGGCGACGCCAATATTTACTTTTTATTATTTGTTTTCTGCATTTTTTAGAATCGGTTTACCTTTTGAATGACAACTTTTGCGTAAACAGGAAATACTATTAGTTTAACTGGTAGAGTCGTTCATTAATAACAAAATAATAATTATATCTATTATACAAAGACCTTTTAAGTCGGCAATATTTTGAATTCTACTTTGAATTGAAAAGTTTCAATTGTCATTTAGCAGTACAAGTTCATGGCAGAAGTCCAGGTCCCCAATTCTGCTAATTTTCTTGATACAACTGGTCATTGTAATGACAGTTGAGTCTCAATAGAGTGGCAGTGATGGCATTCATTGATTCAATTACTAACGATCGATGTTGCCTTACTAAATCTACGAAGGAAAATATTAATCATATTTTAATATTGATTTCGTGTAAGTAGTAATTTAGTCTTCAAATTAAATACATATAGTGTTAGTACATTACGCCATCGACTCGCCATTGAAGAGCGGAACACAAAAAAATGCAATGGCGGTTGAATAGTAGCTCGATGGCTTACCGCTGACAAGCCAGCAGAATACCAAACGTTCAAAATCCTATCAGTATACTCTATAGACGCATAATTGAGATGCCCTGGCGCCCAGAGCTGCGGCGATTGGTCAATGCGGCACCAGTTGCATAAACTCCAAAGATAAGGTTATGGATATTGTTTTTTTACGCCAACTCCCGCTACAATAAATCAATCAGTTTGTATGGTTGTATAAAGAAACCCTAAAATATATATTGGATGATATGTAATCGAAGAATTGAATACAATATTCCATAGACTATTTAAATGAGTGGTACCAAAACTATGAATAATTATTGTTTATGAAAAAAACTACGATACGAAAATTATAACAAACTAGTGGAGTAATTTCACAAAAAATAATTGAATATCAATTCAATAACAATTTAATTAATACAGTGAATAGCGACATCTCTCGCCAGGACTGGTAGCTGTAAAGGTACTAACTGGGTGATAAATCTGTCATAGATTTTTCATAAATGGCGCTACGACTAAAAAGTCGTTGAAAGGCCAAGTACAAAGACACGACGCAAGCACATAGAAAAATTCGTGAGGTCCGTTGGTTCGTTCCGTGGCTTAGTTGGTATAGCGTCTGACACGGTATGCAAGAAGACGTCGGTTCGAATCCGACCGGATCGAAGGAATTTATTCTGAGTATTTTTTCTGAGTGTTCGATCTTTGTATTAATAATTATAACAAACTAGTGGAGTAATTTCACAAAAAAGAATTGAATATCAATTCAATAAAAATTTAATTAAAAACTACGATGACAACGCGGCAACCAAACTTGCCTGCGGCCAAGTGCGGGGTAGTGTGGGTTACTAAATGGCTCGTGGGCGAAATTTATTGATTAGTGTGTCCACGCACACTGTGTTTGCCGTCACAGTGACGGTTGTTTGATGAACAGCCAGGTCACTTACCCGACAAACACACATTACCCACTAGTCGGTGGAAGGCGCGAAAGCATTTAATGGATCTTCATGGAATCCCTTAAAAAGGGTCAAATTGTAAATTGAAATTGTTATAATTCGGAATCGATAAAACAGTGAAAGGCGTGGTGGTTATTGCGTAAGCGCGAGTGGCGAGATCCACTGCGTATTACGCAACTGCGGTCTAGAGTTCTAGAATCAGGTATTTCGATTTACGGCCAGTGGAGTTTGTGTTGCATAATTCACATCATTACAACTATGTCTAATGTAAGCCCCTCTTCTATATCACGCTGCTGGCCCATCAATGCGATAAATATATTATTATTTTATTAACCACGGTTATTCCACTCCACCGCTACCCATAAATTTGACCGGCGTCAGATCATCGTGGCGAAAATTTGTTTTATATTAATGAAGTATCAGCTTCTTTGTGAATTATTTTGCTGCCACCGTGGCCGAACGGTTACCGTACCGACTGCCACGCAGAGGTCCTAGGTTCGATTCCCGGGCCGGGAGAAATAATTGTATGGCCTACATTTACTTCTCTCGTGTAATTTGTGTTTGTCTATGGGTGTGTCCATGGCACCCGCGACACAGGGTTTCCCTAGTGCGGGGCTATGTTGAGTATGTGCGTTATTATTATTATTATTATATTATTTGTGGACCGATTTTGATGATTTTTTTTATGATATTTGTTATATTTCAATACAATATTTCCATATAATTAAAATTATTTACATTCCTTCCGGTACATCCCGTTGTTATTTGACTTGCTTAAGAGATAATTCATTAATTTAATTATTTATTGTAAAGTACCTATATACTTGGTAAAGTACAAGTTAAAGCGTAAAAAACGTAGAATATTAATACAAAGTGTGTTTTAAAAAATACTGTTTTTAAACACCTGAAATAAGTATGTCACGCCGATCACGCCGCAGACGGTCGATAAAAATACAAGTTTATAGTGCCAACAGGATTAATTTCTTTTCATTATGCACCTTCTTCATATTCTTTATTTAGTCTTTGTCTTTCCGTGATCTTTTTAATCATCATCAAACAACTAATTAGAAAGAACACCAATTAAATGTGTTATAAGTTTACTCAGAGCCCCATGTAGTATTATAGACAGACATAAATTACAAGATATTATCACGGCGAGGCATGAGCCGTACGTGTCAGGTTCATGAATTTTCATGAACCGGCGACCTTTGCTTGTACCTGGAATATTTAGCAGATCCTGCGGGTTGTATCGTTTGCCTATTCGACTTATCGATAGAGCAAAAACAAGTCCGCCATCGAGCAAAATTTGCCAATCGACCGAACACAACAAACAGGTTTTGGTATCAGGTTTTTCTTCGACAAATGTTCTTCCATACGTCCTTTTATTAGCCTCGACAATTACAAATAGTCCTAAGCTAGCTCCTCTTTATGGATCTTAAGGCCATTTGGCAAAGTGACTCGGATTATGACGCAACCTTACCCAATCCCTGTAAACAGATAACTGTAGACGCCAATTCTGCTTAGAACGGTAAGGCAAAATAACGCTTCGTAATAGTCAGATGTATATCAAGTGTGACAAGAGATTTGTACGTCAAGATGAAGGATAGACTTTTGTGCACTGAAAGTATCAAATGATCGTATTATTAGACTCTGGTACATTTTGACAAAGTTTACTTAACCGTCAAGTCTGCCATAATATCTGAGAAATGGTTGAAAACTGACCTGCTAGAGTGTTCCTGGAAGTTCCCGCCGTCGAGTAGACGGACCTTGGCGAAGAGCACGGCCGAGACGAAGGGCACTTCTGTGAGCTCCTCGAGACAGCACTGCACCTCGAACTTGTAGCGCTTCTTCTTGGTCATGAACGCCATGACGCCGCACACATCGGCCCGACCGTCGCCGGCCAAGACCGGACGGACTACCGCGGACCCCTCGCAGTTAACACTAAGCGTATCACTCACTAGCACTTCACTTCACATGTGTGTTTTGCAACGCACTTGTAAATGAATCAGAATGTCAGGTAAACAGGTACAAGAAGTCGCTGGCGCGTGAGTCGCGCGCGCGCATCGTAGCCCTCGTTAGCCTGCAACAAAATTAACGACTTAGTACATTTAGATAGTCGGAATGTTTTTCAGATAACGCTAATGAAGGAACATCAGTTTCTCATTGTTGCGTAAGAAGTCGCGATTGTTTGTCTTTGTCACGCCGTGTCGTGGCGGAGCTCTGCTATCCACAAGTAGGCAAGGTTAGTTTTTAAAAGCATTACATGATGTGTGATATCAAACCCTACTATAAATTTTACCAATCGTGGGCAAATATAATGTACGCAATGCTCAAGTTCGCATCGCGCAATACAATAACAGTAGTAACAAGCTCTCTACGACACGATAAATATTTGTTCCAATGGTTGACAATTCAATTTCTTTGTAAAGGTTTACAACGGTGTACAAATTCCTGAGGTGCCGTTCCAGAGAGAGTTTTCTATTGAATGCCGAATCGCAATCGACGTATTGAATGATGGGATTGCGAGTGTAGATCGACTCGAGCCGCGTGTGCGTCGGCCGCGTGAGCGATCAGAAGAGTGATGGTTTGATATCGAGAAACCTTCGCCAGTGCGCGACGCGCGTATGCCAACAAGAGAGATTAGCGTGAATCCGACCAAGTGCACTTCCATATAAAGTGAAAAATTATTTGGTAAATATAGTCGAACCATAGCATACTTGATTGATTTCGAGCAAGAGCGGCTTGTAATGTCTCTTGAGAAACATCAAATGAATGATGATTTGAAAAAAGTAATTACGACGAAAAGTGGACTCAGAAAAATTAAATCAAGGATTAGCAGGTGCTTATGATTATTAGGAGGCTTTTTCGCTCATCTTGCAAATGCGATAAACAGCTAGTCATTTACCTAGAAAATAATTTTGATTTAGCACAAAATAACGCTCCTACGTGGAACCGTACCGGATCTCGATAAGGCGTCGCGTCGCGAGGACACCGAGCTGGCATTGTACCACCGATCGCTAAAAAAGTAACAAGCGCGACGTGGTTTTTGTACAGTCCACGTAACAGATCTTATCGCTGCGATATACATGTATCTTTTCGTTAAATTCCATAAAGATTGTTTACTTCCTGTACACACATTGATAAAATATTATGCTCCTCGTTTTGCCAGTATTTTTAAAATCCTTACTCGTTTATTCGGCGATCCTGGTGGCATTGTATTGAAAGGTTTGTGGGAGAATAAAAATAAAACATTGCGAATGTTCCCAGTCAAGAGCAATTAGTATCGCAAAGATCTTATCGCTTCACAGATACAATATCCCGGTCCGCATGTTTCTGTCAATAACTTCGCATTCGAACGAAAAGAATAATGTGCAATATTTGTATTTAGGAAGTATTAAAGAAGAATATTTACGTATTAAATTTTTTGGCATGGTTTTCCTTGATGAATGGCAAAGAAGCACTCAAAACAACGCAATAATAAAATTGAATAAATATGTAACAGTAAATAAAGTAACATCTAAATAACGTTCAGAATATTGAATGTGATTAATAGAAAAGGGAAACTTACAATGTTACAAGCATGGAAGACCCGCCGGCTAAACGTATTCACATCGCCTGAAACAAAAGTGATGCCAATGTGAGCTTTTGAAACTTCACTGCAATCTAATATCTAGTTCCCGTGCATGCAGTGGCGATTAAAACGAAACTGAGATATGAGAATACACGAAACATGAGATAATTTTGAGAGAACTGTGTCAAAAGTTGTAATAAAGTCGATTAATGTCTCGAGTGCAGAATTTGAGAAGTAAAAACGGCCAATTAAATGCATCACGCGAACCGCAATAATGAGCAACCTTCGCGCTTCGCGTGCTCCGTCCGACTGGCTCCAGATTAACAATTTTAAAGGAAAATATTTTCAATTTCAAACGCTCATTACAAGTGCTTAAAGTAATCACCGCTCTGATATTAATAGCATAGTAATTGACATCGACGGGTATATGTCTATCAAAAAAAGCGACGCACACGTCTAACACTACGTTTGAAGGAAAAAAAACTATCAATTAACCAATTGCTGTGATTAAACCAAAGCAGCGACCTTCGCGGAACGTTGCGTGCGCGCAATTGACCTGTCAATTCATCACAGGGCACAGGTTACAAACAGTTCGCACCTCGCCCAGTCGTGAAAAACACTTAATTTGGTAATTCACTGTGAGTTACAACAGTCCAATGATACCATGCTTTAACTTAGATGATGTTGGAGTTTTTTCCCTGCGCAATGTGGTGGATGAGTCATTCCTTAGCAATTGAATTGAATAAAATTTTATACCAATAAAGTTGATCGAAAAATTATACTGCAATACGATGAGCAGAAAAACGCATCGGTGCATTACTTCCCGATATTGTCTCGTTTCGATCACAATGTTCTTAATTGAATCGACTCGCTATTGCCGCTCTGAGTTAGGGAAAGAATTCGCAAACATGTACCGCATAATGCGGCGAAAAACATTTCCAGATTAGATCGATTGACGTCATGGTGCCGAACACTTCTTGAGCACCTTCAATAAACTAACAACGTCTGATATAAAGCAGCTAGTGCTAGGTGCGTTCCCGATGGGCGCGCTGGCTCGCCGCCAACGAGAGGCGCTATCATCGGTGTGAGTGTCGCTTCGTCTAGAGCCCTGCAGAGCATCTTAAGGTAAATTGGCTATGTTTACGTCTTGATATTATGTACTAACTTGTTTATGCGCACAGATTATCTTTGTACATTGAATATCCCAAGTCAGCAAAAAAGTAACCCTCTGTGCCCTTGAAATATCAGTCAAAATGACACAGATATGATCTTAAAGTATTCTAGTAATGGTTATCAGGAGAATGCTGTAAAAATATCTCAGATACGGGTCTGGTTATTGGAGTGGGAAAAGCAACGACGACGAAACGAGGCGTTATCGTCGGATGGCGGCGGCGTCGGCGACGTACATACTACACCATACAAATGGGTACGAATTATACTAATGGGCTTGACAAGAGCTACAAAAATTATGCACAGATAACTTGATTACCCTCGCATTACAAATAAGCGCAAATATGATATTTTTAGCGTCCTAAAAATGCTCAATTAAACAGATATGTTGAAAACACTTCTCAGAAAATGTTCCTATAACTTGCGAATGCGAGGTAAAATAAAGAGGGAAACCGAATATGTTATTCGAGGAAAACAAATATGTGGTCTATCGAAATTTCGAACCATATTTCCAACATTGTGTAACTGTAGGTACTAGGTACAGAATGCTCGGGTCTTTGTTTACTTGAAGACAATACATTATTTGAGGAGTGACATATTCAAAACATTGCCAATCTTTGCCCGAATGCTAACAAAACCAGTTGATACCTAAGGTTGATACCACAATTAGGGAATTTAAAACAACTGATTCACCGACTCGTAAAAAAACTCTCATTTCAGTAAAATATAACGTCAATTAATTGAGGTTGCGCTTCGCGACACGACCACCTATAATAGGTCAGTGCTCTTTTTCTTACTTTTGTAACAAAGCACTTAAGCGTAGTGACTTCATTTCCATGGTTGGACGTTTTATTGTGGCACTTTTTCTTTTATCAGTTTCAGTGGGTAACCTATCACAAACTCGAACTTATTTTTTCCGAAATAACGTTTCTTCGAATTTTCATTTCCCCGAATTATAACGAAATCGTTGTTCTTTCATGTTTAACGCAAAGACACGATTAGGTTCGGTTAGGGGGTTAGGTTAGGTTAAATTAGGTTTAAAATAAAAAACTATTTCCTCTTAATATTACTTTCGAGGTTATGAAAATTCGAGCAAACGTCATTTCCGACTTCTGATAGGTAACCGTTTCAGTCTGTCTTGGGTCGAAGAAACAATCTGCAGTCCGGCAAAATGTCTTAAAAAAAGTAAACCAGGAATCCCTTTTTCCAGTGAAGATGTTCATTCACGAAGGAACGTGATTGTCCGCCGGTCACGCTCCGTCGCGTCGCGCCAAATCATCGAAGTGTTGCTGATCCCATGCCGATCAATTCACATCGGAACCGAGACACGACTTGCAATATTCGATATGCTCTTAAAAATAACAATAAAGATCTAGCAACGAGGTTATAAAATAACGAGTCACGTCGTAATGCCCCAAATTTATTTCAGTGCCAGAAGAATTCTAACACGGGCATGCACAACAGTCATGTTGGTAAACATTTCGTCCATAATGGTCGACGTAATGAGCAATGCAAGAATGTATAACAAACTTTTCATGATTGCGTGTGCACAGAGAATAGCGGTTTTAAGCTAAAGCATGTTAAGAGGGGCTCGTCGCCGACGAAGGTCATCACTGGAATTGAGAGCAGCGTAGTTTGGTGATAATACGAGATCTTTACCTTACAAGTGATCACAGCGCAGCGGATCAATAGATCGGTCAAAGGGAAAGTACTAACATTGCCTGCTAGCCTTGTGGGCATTATGTAAACATCCATGTTGTTCTAGTACTTTACAGACCCTTGGTCTAAATGGTGAACAACAACGCTGTAAAGCTATTACAGTCGCAACGCACTCGCTACGTTACATCGATTACCCGCGTCCGAAATTGACAAGGAGGGTGACGGCGGGCGCTGCCACCCTTACGTGCAGGGTAAATTATAGACCGAGAAAGTTTTCTTTATTGACAGAGAAGCGATTCTCCATAGATTTACGAAATGTTGCAGTGCAAAGTTTTTGCTTTTACCTTGTCTGTCACTATAAGTCACCATGAAAACGACATTTACTTTTAGTCGTATTGTACGGACTCACAAAAAACCATAATCCGTAGCTTGTCGTTGCTGGCCTGCAATCACAGCAACATCGGCCGAGCAGCAAATTGGCCGCGGACAAAAAGCTAACAATCACCGCCGCCAGCCAAGCGCGTACTTTTTGGGGGAAAAAAATCATGGTCAATGGCAGACAAGTCGGGCATTGTTTTGGTCTAAAACAGATTCAAGCGCTCAATATCCTAGTGGTCACTCAAGGCAGATTCGTAACGTCATGGTCATGTTTTCGTACAATATTCTTTCAATAAGTTGTTCAAAAACGTTATCTTTTTTTGCTTAAGTATTGTGGTAGTGTACCTACATCCTCACATTTCACTGCGCAAATATAAAAATATAATAATTCAGTTGAACCCCAAAGATCCAAGCAAAATAATATTTATATGAAATACTTTGTACAAATAATTATCCTCATTTCATGCGAAATTATTTGTAGGCGAAAACAGCACCGTGACGTACCACCATGACTGAGATCATTACTGGTGATTATTTAAATTATTATTTATCTAAGGTTTAAAGTATATTAATACAACCAACGCTCCGTGGACGAGGGATGTGTTTGCTGTACAAATAAATAAACATATGAATCTAACCATGTTTCGTTTATTGCAAGCAAATGGTAACGGGAAGGCGTTCATCGTGTTTGCAACGCGGAAATCTTTCATAAGAAAACGTAGCTCGCGTCCGTCGTACCGTTTTTATAAGAGCCATAACACAATTCCCAACCACGGCAGTTAGGTGCACTCCATTACAAACTCAAAAGGAAGTATCCTTAATAAAAGACAGTTTTAATCAAAAATAAATTACTAGTACAGATTAGCTGAGATCGAGCTCCTTAAATAAATAAATTCTTCAAATAAAGGTGTATTGAATGAAATCTGCTCGTTTCGCCACAATACCATTTGTTTAAATTTTGCGCGTGCTAATACTACTAATGTACCACTTATCTAAATTGCAATATTTCCAAGCAAAGTGAGTCACAACACATGACCAGTATAATAAACGCCTTATCTTAGTAAATTAAAATTAATTTAGATAAGATTAGACTTATTTCCATTACAAAGAAGGCTCGCTAAGTAAGAATGTCTAACGTATTGCCCCAAGTCCGCATCCAATTGTAGGGTAGTGGGTTTCAATTTCCAAAACGATTCGGTGAACAGCAATGTGGGTAGATATCAGTGGCGAAGACTTCACATAACATGAAACTTATCGGCTTGCTTTAATATGCTAACACACAGATGTAGATCAACAAACGAAACGCCACATTATTTCATGGCACAATTAAGCCGCGCAACGTCTCGTTTCCCTAAACCAACCGCCTGAAAGGTTTGTCGGACGGGGCAAGGCTATCACTGAGTTGCTTTGCCATAAAATACTGCCCTTTTTATTTCTATGAAAAAAACGGCCACATTCCTGTTTCATTACGGAAATATATGTGGCAAATCAATACGATTGAGAGCAAGTTATGAGAGAGTTACGAGCCTAATTAACAAGGACACGTGCAAGTGAGAAAGTGGCAAAGACTTTAAGTTACATTAACGATTTAAACAAGAAACTGAACCGCAAGTGCGACGTCCAGTACGAGTATACGTATAAATGGTAGTACTGGACTATTGGCTATTGTTGAAAATAATGGTTACATCATACGCATTATGATTTTTTATTTTGGTGTGATTGTTTATGAAACTCATTGAGCCACGGTTATAAATCAATACAACAATCGATTTTTTGTTCAAATCTTCTCGGAGTCGGCTATTCTTTTAAAATTATCCACTTTTCGCCGAAGGCGGGT